GTGAAAGACAGCATGGTTTTGCGAAGCCTCGGTTCCTAAAATCCTGTAATCATCATTAATAAGAATGTAAAAGTATGCTCCTTCTTCATCTTTTGTCTGCGTGGTCCTTGTGAGTAGAGACTCTAACTCTTTTTGAGTTACATGGAGGTAGTTATTTGCAGCCCATCATATGAAGGTTGGTATTTTTCATCTTCATCTTGCTTTCAACCAGAGTCTCTCAACACCCTCCTGGCATATCTAGTCCCTTCAAAAACTGTATCCAAGTCATAGACCACATACAAATCACTTAAGAAAACTATCAGTCTCTAGTATCCAATCCTGCTTTCTGCTGCTAGCCCCCATGTAATGTATTGGAAAGGATTAAAACATGCCCATTCTTTAGTACTGAAGAAGATGAGCCTGACCCCATAGATTGGATATCCCTGCCTACTGACTCTGGGCTGCAAGAAAATCAATATTGCATTTTTACAAAGGTGTCTGTTTATATAAAATCCCATTCAGAAACAAATCCTCTTGTCTCAATTTTTTTTCTAGTCCCTTCAATGAACAGGTTCCTGCTATTTAATCTAAAAATCTAGTTTCTTCTTAAAAATTTAGCGGAAAGAAGAAAAGGAGGAAGTGGAGTGGATCTGGGGGGGAAGGGAGGGTGGAGGGGAGGATGCGAGGAGTGGAGGGAGGGAAAACTGTGCTGGGGATGTATCATGTGAGAGAAGAATCTATTTTCAATAAAAATAAAAAATAGGGCACAATAAAGGAAACATAATAAGCAGGGCTAGCATAGTCAAATGTGAAGTAGGTATGTTAGGTTTAATGTACAAAAATGAAACACAACTTAAGTCAAGGAACAACTTTACTGAATTTTTCACGAGTTGAAAACAGTTGCTCTACAGTCCTCACTAATCTGAGTGTTAATTGGCATGTGTAAGGCTAGTGTGTTTTTATTGCTGTCCTAACGGCTGGGCATCTCTCCAGGTTTCCTGTGTCTTCATTGTAGCTTCATTTGGACATAAATGGACGGCAGCTTTCACTCTGAGAAGAATGCAGGATTAGCAGCATAAGGAAAAACGAAGGGAGGAAATCACTATGTGTGTGGAATTTGTGTCAGGTTACTATGACTCCAAAGGGCGCTTGGGTATTCTGTCTTTCAGTTGCAATGCGGTAAGAAATAACTAATGCTCATGGTCAAAATGAGGTCTCAAGAAACCAAAGAGCCAAATTTGTGCATTTTCACTTTCTGAAGTTACGTGGTGATCCATTGAGAAATAGTTTCATATAAAAGAATTTGTGATCTTGTTTAAAAAAAAATGTGATACATTTGTTAAATATTGAATTTGTTTCATAAAACTTGAAAGAGGTTTTAAGTGTGCTCTGACTTCCATATTTAATGTCGGCAAAGTATCACTTACACAAACATCAGTGAACACAGGAGTATACCAACTACTAATGAATCAATACTGCAGAGACACTGAATTATTTAGTCCTATTTCATCACTCTATGAGGAATACACTATGACCCAGCATTACTGACAATAATGAAAAAATATAGAGCTCATTTTAATTCACCACAGTAGAAAGCTACTAAGTGAATTCCACCCCTGAGACTCCTGCAGGGTCTGTTGTTGCGCTGTCCAGGAAGCCAGCCACCCCACAAGTGAGGAACCCTCCCCGGGTCATGGACTGGAAATGTAGTTAAACCTAAACTGATTAAATGTAAGTGGAGCAGGGTTCATGTAAGACACAGAGGGAAAACAATTTTACATCTCTGAGTAACTGTTATACTCCTATTCTTTAAAGATAATATTAAAGAAAATAATGTATTTAAAATAAATTTCTCATCCTTTAAACATGACAAATAGAATTTTTTGAAGAGGAAATGCAGGGGTAGTGGATCTCGGAGAAGGAGAAGGTGGGGCTGAGCTATGAATAGAAGGAGGGGAAACAGTTTGTGATGAATTGTATGAGAGAATAATCTATATTTGATTAAAAAGAAAACTAATATGGTAAACATTTTTTGGTTTGTGTTATAATTTCTACTATGCAACGTTTGCTGTTTTTTTTCTTGTTTTATACATTGCGGAAAATAATAAGGCAGTAAAGTGTATATATAACACATATTTCAGTTTTGAGACTTCAATGATGTGTTTTTTATGCATGTGTTCGTAGAACAGTACTTGCAAAATGATAGATATCAAATCAAATGATATTAGACACTAAAAATCAGTTTTCACATCTTAGATGTCCTATACTTCTGTGCTACCAAATAATAGCCTGTATTTTTGCTGTAAGTGTCCTTAATAGATACATTGTGAAGATTCATAAAATAAAAATAATCAATTAATTATATGTTCCTTTATAATTTAAAATAACAATGTAGGTTACAGGGTATATTGAAAAAATTTAAAATTTTAAAATCTATTGTGCAATACATCAGAAATTAGACGTTGAGATAAAAACATCTTTGTTGCTATTACCAGTGTGGTATTAATGTGTATGTAATCTTGAATAAATTGCTGAATGGATATTATAATACTGAGTAATCACAATTCAGTAAAATACACCAATAAATAATATGGTGTTTAGTAAAATTTTTCTTTTAAAAATTAAGTGTATGCTGCCTTTTTCCTGCTCCTATTAATTAATATCATGACAATTATTGTTGCCATATTACTGTGTTATATTTTGTGTAATAAGCCTAAATTATGCCAATCATGAATTTTAATTAGATAAAGTCAAATAAACGCTTATTAAATGAAGGACTTAAAAGGGAAAACAGATTGAAATAAAGGTTCATTGATAATTTTTAGCTTTAAAATGTTTTTTTTCCATTCAATTAGAATCTATCAATTACTTTATTGAATGTTCCACTCAGAAACAAATTTCATTTACAATTGCTAAGAACTTTAAATATAATACTACTCCAGATTGACATATATTCTTGGAAAAAAATCTTTTCAGTATTCATTTTGTTCTTTTCAGGTGATGGAATTAATTAGACATGGTTCATTTCCCTCAATTTGCATGTTCATTCTCTTAGACTTATTTATTTTATTTTGTGTGTGTGGTTTACTCTGCATGTATGTATGTACAACACATGCATGCCTGGTGCTCTCAGAGGCTGGAAGGAGGCAACAGACCCCTGAGGCTGGAATCATGGATTGTTGTGAGCCACCCTGGAGGTGCTGGAACCCAAGCCCAGATGATTTGTAAGAACAATAAGTGCTCTTAGTGGCTGAGCCATCTCTCCAGCTCTACCTGTTCATCCTCTTGATAAAAGACTCACGATGAAAGGTCAAGAATACACGTGAAATTAAAATTTTACATGGTATTAAATTGTGTGCCTATTATTAAAATGTTCATAGTGATATTAAAGTTTACATTAGGTTTCCTCTTCCTTGATAAAAAAAACAAACAAACAAACAAACAAACAAAAAACTATCATTCCAAAAAAAACCCTCTCTGTTTGGCATGTAATTTAAATGGCTAAAAGTAATCTATATATATATGATACAAACATCCAAGTGTGAATGTAAGCATGTATGGACACACACACACACACACACACACACACACACACACACACACACACACAATAAACACAGACCTATGGCAAGCAAGTTCAAATAATTCTATCTGATTTCATAATTCTTCCACAGACACAATTTTAAACAAATTAATCCTAATCATGAACTTCTGACAAGAAAATGTAAGTTAACAGTACAGAAAGGATTACAACCCTTCTTATAAAGAGTAAAATTATAGTACAATATCATAATCATTTCCAAGTCATAATTTTGTATAAAGTTACAAATATCATAAAAATATTTTATAATTCAAAATTTATTTTATCATGAAGAGACTAAAGCTGAAGTTAAAAAGTAAAATGCAATCAACCTTGATGCTGCTGTCCAGAAATTGATGAAAATTAAGAATCAAGATCAGGATCATCCCTACAAACATATACATGCAGGCTACAGTGAATGGATCAGCAGGTTATACTCACATGTTGAGTACACTATATATATATTTGTGTGTGTATGTGTGTGTGTGTGTGTGTGTGTGTGTGTGTGTGTGTGTGTGTGTGAAAACAATGGTTAAAGAAGTAGAAACATTGAATTTAGGGCTTGTTGGACATGGCAGGGTAGGACAAAGGTGCGGAAGAGGGAGAAATGATGTGATTAAATTAGCAAATTTTTTAAAATTACAAATAATAGAACAGAGGTTACACTGTGTTGTGCTTTTCATGGTTGATTCATTACAACTCTAAATTCTGTTTGAAATGGAGAACTTAGTGAAGGAACAGAAGGAAGCCAGCAGAATGCTGAGCATCCAGGAGCGTCAATGGCATCAGGTCTATGTGGCACACATATAATCTACTACGTTTTCATAGGAAGAGAGAATAAATAGGTGCATTATGCATGCACTGTATGGTCAGGAGATTATGCTTCTTAACTGATTCTTAATTGATTCTGGAAATTTGGAAAATTAATTAACGTTGGATTTATCTATATGTGGATGAGGAAAACCTCCCCACACATAGTGATAGCAAATGTAGTTTAAGTTCTGGTTTCATTGGCATTTATAGTAGAGCCTTTATAATTAGCTATTTTATTAAAATCTTATCTTCAAGGTAGGACCTTCCTTATTACTACTTAAGAATAGAAAAGATATTCATTGTAAATTGTTAGCTTTTTAAAATGAGCATATTCCTTTTGCTGGATTAAGCAGTTATTAGGTAATTGTTACACACTCTGTGTGTGTATATGCATATGTGTATGTGTGTGAGAAAGAGATAGAGATAGAGACAGAGAGATAGAGAGGTAGGGGAGATTCAGAGTCTCCATTTCTGTAAGAGATATTGCTAAAATAAGTAATTTTACCTTTTGCTGGAAATTTTGTAGTAAATTATTACTATCTGTTTATTAGCTAATTGGCAACTTCTTAAACCATCCTTTTCACTCTAGATCTTATGCTCTACAGAATGATCATCAAAGGGCACTTACTCTGAGGGAAGCGAGGTGGGTTGTCATTGACATCTGTCAGTGTGATGTTCACTGTGGTGGTTCCGGATAAACCCCCCATCTGGCCACCCATGTCCTTGGCCTGGATGACCACCTGGTACTGTTCCCTATTCTCTCGGTTCATGTTTGGTAGAGCCGTCCGGATGATACCTTTGAGAAAATACAAATGCTGTGTTACTCTACTATGTGGCAGCTGCCAATTTAATCAAGTATCACACACACACACACACACACACACACACACACACACACACACACACATGCTAATTATATAGCTAAATTATGAAGCTAATTTCATACAAATATTTAAAGTTCATTTTATTTGCTATCTCCTAGTAATATCATATGCACTATAGTGATCTAAACTTACAAATAAAGCCCAAGTTACATTTCTGTTAGTTCAATCAATTATTGACTTGAATTTTACAAGAATCAGACTGAGGATATGTCAAAGTGAGGCCTGGTTTTAATGTGCAAACTCCAAATAATGACAGCAAGGTCCCGGCAATTCAACTCTTGAGGGGCAAAGCAGCAGGGTTTCTGGGATTTACTGGCCAGGCTGTCTAGACAAATTGTTAGGGTTCAGGGGCAGTGGAAGACCTTGTCTTAAAAATCAACATGTGTATCTATTGAAAAGTACACTTCATGGCCCAGGCTGGCCTCCAAATATATCTGCATAGATGTACATACATGTCCTTACACACATGAACACACACAGAGGGAAAAAAAAAATCAAGTATGGCACTGTTACTCTTCTCTGTGCACCAATGCTTAGGTTTTATCTTTGTTCTCCCATTTATACTTGCAAAGATTACAAACATGGTAACTTCAGCAAACCCCCATACATCGTTTCTGACCTGTTTCTGGCTCCACAGAGAAATAAGGCTGCCCTTGAAGTATGCTGTAAATGACTCTGGCGCTGTTCCCGTATGAAGGGTCGTCAGCATCTGTAGCCGTGACTTGCACCACAGAAGTACCTGAAGTATCCAAACTCAGCTTAGTTCTGCACAGTACCAGAAGGAGGAGCAAAAGTGCTGGTTTTCATTGAAGACTTGAGTGATTTGGGGCTTTAAAAATGATCACTTTAAGAAACTAAACAGTTGGATGATAGATACAGATAAAGGTATATAGTGTTGCAAATGAATCTTGAGTTCAACTTAACAATATGTATTTAGCCAAAAGATGCGTGCTTGTGCACAAAGTAGATAACGCTTCAGTATTTCAGAATGTAACAAGCACGGTCCCTTTACAAATGGTGAGGTCTGATATTAAAATGAATTTTTGTATAATAGGCTTGTTTTGTGTAAAGGGCACATCTAACTCTCAAAGGAGTAGGTATATTCTTTCTCCCTCTGCACTAATTAACTCTAAAAATAATCAACATCTGCTCTAGAATACAATTTTATGAATAGATTGAATTCCAAATTTATAAACAATCCAAGATGACCCTATGTTCCCAGAACTCCTAAGATCTGTCTAATAGAGTTCACGTTATCTATAAGGGCTTTATACTTGGTGATTGCCCAGGGTCCTTGGGGTTTAGCAAAGTGTAATAACACTCCCAGAACAAATGTTTGTGAAATGTATGAGTTTGATAGTTACTATTAAAATACCAATACTTGCTATTTAAAAAATGCTTTTTATTAATTTAAACAAGTTCATACACATTCTGGAAGTTTGATTTTCTATGAAACTAAATATATACTAAAAATATTATCAAACACTCTTGGGGTTTGACTATATTATCATTAACTATTTAGTGAAAATCAAGCATTTTCATTTTTCTCATCCATATATCACATTTGATAACATTAAAATACATTCCATTATCTTAAACATTATAGTTTTTCCTTTTATTTTATATATTTCACAATTCAATGTTGTTTTTCTGTACAAAGTTATTGTATGACGTTTTAGTGTGTATATTTAAATATGAGACTATAATAGCATAATTTTAATATGTAAATGTTAAAATACAAAGGAATTTCAATATTTAAGAAAACAGAAGACAATCAAGGCTTTTATTTGAATATGTAAGTAATCTAAACAAAGGCTTTTGATAAACTGTGATGAGTATTCATACATGAAACCATATCTTACCACTGGTACTCATGCTTTACCAGTCTATGGTCTGTAGTTCTATGTCTCTAATGGTATATAGTTGGAGGACTGAAAATGCTTTTAAAGTAAATTTCTGTTGAACATGTATAGAAATTAGACCTTGGTGCTTCTTATAAACAATATAGTATAGCAACTATTGAGATAATAACAGGTTTCCTGAGAATAAGCAGGAGGGCATGCATGAGCATATGCCCATACTGTGTCACTTAAGGGACTGAATATTTAGTATCTATAAGGGGTCCACGATTTGGCCTCTTGTGGACAGCAAGAAACAATTCTAATCCTAAAACATATGTCTTCAGGATCTGACATGCTTACCACAAAAGTTCATATGACAAAGTGTCATTTTAGTCTTTTCTACTGAAATTTAGTGGTACTTTCTTAATTTTGGGGGAGGTCCACCAGGAAGTGGTGAAGATTTACAAATTCACATGACATGTAAAATTATTAATAACTCTTTTCTGGCTCATTGCTTCTGTATTCAAATATATATGTATTTTAGCTAGGAAATAAAAAAATTGATTTAAATTAATTAAATACAATATTACAAGAATTATTTGAAATTACTTTCATCCTTTCCATACCATCACAAATATTGTAACTGTACTTACCTACAACGGACATTTCAGGAACACTAGCTGTATAAATTTCTTCTGGGAATGTTGGCTCGTTGTCATTGATATCATGGATTTTGATCACAAATTCAGACTCTGGTTCTACTGGCCTCAGAGTTCTTCTGTTAATAGCTTGTGCACGTAGAGTATAAAAGGCCTTTTCCTCCCTATCAATTCGTCTTGTGGCATGAATATCACCTGTTTTTTCATCAATAATAAAAAGAGTACCAGCTCCATCTCCAGATAAAATATATTTGAGCGATCCATCTCCTTTATCTTGGTCTGAATGAAGCTAGAGGAAATAAAAAGGAGCATATCCATGATGATGTTTAAAGGTGTACAGGGGTAAAAGAATTCAAAGATAGTCCTTTAAATCCCATCACAAATAATGGCCTCAATAATCTCAGTCCTATGAATCAGAATTGAGTAACTATCAATTCTATCACACTCAAGCACCAAAAAGATCTGTTCATTTAGCATGGTGATTTTTTATTCTAAACAGATAAACAACTTAACTCTCCCAAGTTAAAATAAGCTCCCTTTTTCCACCTGGTATATAACCACTTTTATGAACAAATAACCCCTAATAAAGACATCAGCCATGAGGTTATAAACAATGTATTTTCAACTCTTTCTAGAAATGGAAGGTTGTTTTACTCTCACCTTGTACAGGGAATTCAGCTTTTACCAACTTATTATAGGTTGTATTTCTGCTTGGTAAGTATTAACATCTTAGGATTTCTAACTCTTTCAAGCAGACAAGAGATAGACTCCAAATGTGGGAATAATAAACATAATAATTGGTTTCATATAAAAGGTGCCAACTAACATGCAAATATTTGTATGTCTTAGAATACTGATACATATACATATATGTATGTAACATTGATACATGTACTAAAGAATGAATAAATAAATAAATAAACCATAACATAAAATATGCCCTAACATTGTACCTTGTCAAAATACCTTTTTGAAATCTGCAAAGGACAAAAGAATTCAAGACAATACTGTGACTGTTTTTCCTGTGTCTATAGCAAAACCACACCCAAACTTTGAGAATTATTTCATCTTATGAAGAGTTATAGTTTGGATCATGTGCACATATCCTAGTGTGCACGTTGCTGAAGCTAAACTCTGGGACCAGGAACTTATGTGTATTGGGAAAATTCTACCTGTACTGTTTTTCAAAGATATCCCTAAAGGAAGCTAGCCAGGCTTGTGGATGCATGGATTAGTAACTTCAGACTTTGGGAGAATGAACTGGAAATCATACCAGGACTAATAAGTAAACTCTAGGCTGCTGAGTACTGGGGATTAATGTATCCTAAGCATCTTCCAGATAATGTGGCAGTGTATCAAGGTAACATTGATCCATGCCCACTTGTCATGGGATTCTTAGCTTGTGGAAGAAGCTTGTCCACAGAGAAAACAGAAATTATTGTGAAATATATGGTTATAACTATGGCTTTAGTTGTACCATTCAAAACCACAGGTATTGAATATGCCATGATTATAGTTTTAATATTTGTAATAAAATGCACTTTTTAACTTAATAATGTATCTACTTTTGCTTCTTTCTTCATTTCTATGGAGAATGACCTTCAAATGTCATATGAAGGGTAAAAGTGAATGATAGGAAAAGAAAGGAGCTTTAACTGGGGAAAAAAGATGTGAGGGTAGGGTAGAGAAGGGATTGGAGAAGAACAACTCACTCTAAGGATGTTTTAAAAGCTTTATACATGTGGACATTCATATAAAAGCGTTTAATTGAAGTTATACTACATGGAATTATATTCATTTTAGAAGTCGCAGGCTGCCAAATAGAAAGCCCAGTGTTAGGTGTGGATATCTCTCTTCAAGATCTTTGTCAAAGTGTCATCAAGACTCCCAAAGCAAGAAAGGATATTCATGTTGCTCTTCGTTTCCCATCAGAACTTGATAGTAAAATCTGCTGCTGAGGACACCACACACATTGATCATAGAACATGGAGAAATCAAGCTGATACTGACTAGAAAACTTCTTCCCTGCTGGCTAGCTCTCATAATACTGGAAGGTGCTGTGCAGGTGTCTGAAGAGGAGATCCAGCATTCTTATCAAGCTGTGAACTTTGTGAAACAATATAAGGACCAGTATGCAAGATCATACCCATGGATGCAGTAGTGGTATGAACCATCTGAGGGTAAACAACCATTTTTATGATTGTATTTAAGACCTGCTCTCTGGAAAACATGCTAGACATGCCCCATCTAGCAAATGTAGTGAAGAACCTGTAGTTGGTGTGCTCACAGAGCCAGGGCTGAACCTACCACTATTAATTTGCTAAACGGGCGCAGTATTGAACTGCCCTCTGAATTCACATCACCCTATTCACAGATTGGTGCAGGTCTCAGACTTCATCTAAAAGATGATCTGCAGCAGATGGTGGTTAATGTAGAAACTCATAACTCATCAAACAGCAGAGAATAAGTGAGGTTTCAAGGCTGAGCTACCCATGAGACATTGTATCAGTGCTGTGGGATGGTCTGTATGTCAAATTGCTCTGATTGGTCAATAAATAAAACACTGATTGGCCAGTGGCCAGGCAGGAAGTATAGGCGGGACTTACAGAGAGGAGAATTGAGTGAACAGGAAGGCGGAGGGAAACACTGCCAGCCACCACCATGACAAGCAGCATGTGAAGATGTCGGTAAGCCATGAGCCACGTGGCAAGGTATAGATTTATGGAAATGGATTAATTTAAGCTATAAGAACAATTAGCAATAAGCCTGCCACGGCCAAACAGTTTGTAAGCAATATAAGTCTCTGTGTTTACTTGGTTGGATCTGAGCGGCTGCGGGACTGGCGGGTGACAAAGATTTGTCCTGACTTTGGGCAAGGCAGGAAAACTCTAACTACAGTATCACAACATCTCCCCAAAGATGAGGTGCTGTCAAGGAAGAAGGACCAGGTTTTAAGTGGTTAGCAAGGAGCAGAGGGAAATAGTCTCTCCTGGACAGATCAGAATGACTGTACTCATGAATTCACAGCAGCTGTGGCTGTCTCTGTAAAACCTGCACAAATTAAGCCAGTCAATATTCTAAAATGGAGCTGATAGTGGTTTATGAGCCCCCACCATTAACTGAGGAGCTATGAACAGTTAAGGTCCATAGGAGAGGGAGTTTAAGTTTACTTTTAGGGTGTTGGCTCCTGTTAGATCAACCATGGCCCAGTCAATGGCCCCAGTGCAGAAGGGCATGAATAGCACAAATTGGCTAATAGTACAAATGGGCACTAAAATTAAAAGAAGAAAGGACATCAACATGGGGGAGTTGAGGATGAATCTACGAGTGAAAGGGAGCAGCTAGGGAGAATATGATCAAAATACATTGTATCAATTCTTAAAATTTTTAAATATTTATTAAAATAAAATATAATTGCAAATGTTATGCTTTTAGTAATAATACAAAATATAGGCATAAATCAAAAGAGCTCTGCCAGTCTCTACTCTGGAAAATTTAAATATGGATACAATATTTTCCAGTAATAGAGATATTGAACAGGAGTTATACATTTATTTAAATAAATTAGATTTGTTCTTCAGGTAATTTATAATCAAAACTCACAGATAGGAGTTTTTTCTTTCTTTCTTTCTTTCTTTTTTTTTTTGGTTTTTCGAGACAGGGTTTCTCTGTGTAGCTGTGCGCCTTTCCTAGAACTCACTTCGTAGCCCAGGCTGGCCTCGAACTCACAAAGATCCGCCTGCCTCTGCCTCCCGAGTGCTGGGATTAAAGGTGTGCACCACCACCGCCTGGCTAGAGATAGGAGTTTTAATTTAATTTCCCATTTAATGTAAACATTTGTTCTTCAAATGAGATTTTTTTCCTTAATGAGAATTTGTTTGTTTATCTTATATTAATGAATATGAATGTTAAAACGTTTGTGAGTGTTTGTATCTATGGATATTTGAGTGAGTGAGCCTATGTGGAGGACAGAGGACAACACTGGGTGTTTATCCTTACTGCTCTCTATTTCAGTTTTTGAAACCTAGAGCTGGTTGCTCCAGATAAATGGCTAATCTGGCCAGTTCTCAAGATCCCAGAATTAGAAGTTATTCTCCATGCTAGCATGTTTGTAGCACGAATCTTAAAATGGCTTATTAATAAAAACAAACCTGAAACCAGGTATTGGGGTGAACACTGGAAGATCAGAGAAGCAGAACAAGCCATAGCCACTTCACCTCTCCAATTCCTCAGCTGATCCTGTTTTCACAAATTCTCAGACTGAAGCCTCTGAGTCCTCATCCAGATGGATCTCAGCTGAACCTCTGCTGAAAGCCTAAAAGCTTAACCAGGTCTAGTTCCTGGTTTTCATGCCTTATATACTTTTCTGCTTCCTGCCATCACTTTTTGGGATTAAAGGCATGAGTCAGCATGCCTGGTTGTTTCCAGTGTGGCTTTGATCTCACAGAGATCTAGATGGATCTCTGCCTCTGGAATGCTAGGATCAAAGGCATGTGTGCCACCATTTTCTAGCCTCTATATCTAGTGGCTGTTCTGTTCTCTGACCCCAGATAAGTTTATTAGCGTGCACAATATTTTGGGGAACACAATATCACCACAATATGTTGATGATTGGAATTCAGATCTCCATGATTACATAGCAACCACACGACAACTAAGTCATCTGCATAGCCCCCAAAGTAGTTATATGAGCATAAAATACAGTTAAAATAAGCCAAAATAAGCATAATTATACATGTCATTATATTGCTAGCTACGGCTAAATTTACAAAAGTGGTTTACTTTGCTGAAATGCTTATGTTCATTAGATTTAGCAATCTACTTTGTATACAACTCCATTCTTTTCACTTTACAAACAATTCATCATTAGTGACATAATGGATATACATATCTGAAATGTGCAGGTATTTTAGAAATAAAGGAAGTTGCAGAACAAAGAGAATTTTACTGCACATGTAGCTATTTGGAAACAATAATATGTGTAAACTCAGGAAGTATCTGTTATTAATCAAGAAACTCTCAGACGTCACATACGAGTGTGTAGTCCAGGAATCACTCTCACGAAGTCGAGAGATTGATGGTTATTAGTATCCAAAAATGTACTTGGTTGCTCGGAAACTCTCCAATTATATGCATTTGCAACACTGTGGGCATCTTCCCACTGTCGCTCTAAGCATTACAGATCCCTTTTCAGTCTGAGAAACACAACAACCGGACGCTATTGGCATTATCAATCACTTGGCTAGACAGCACTGTGGCTCAGAGTAGACAATTCTCTTTTTCATTGGT